TATTTTTCCAAATGAATTAAAAACTAATTTTTGGAAGTGCACAATCATACATTGTTTCTAACTTCCTTGAAAAACAGAATTTTCTTCACCAACTTCTCCCTCTGACCCTACCCCCTCTTATGCTCTCTCTCAAATAAATAAAAAAAAATAAAAATCTTAAAAAATAATAATAATAAATCTATTTAAACCCTCAGTAAAGCTATTTTTCCAAATGAATTAAAAACTAATTTTTGGAAGTGCACAATCATACATTGTTTCTAACTTCCTTGAAAAACAGAATTTTCTTCACCAACTTTATCCTTTTCTTCTAAATAATCATTCATTTCCTTTGGACAGCTTAGATCAGGTTTGTTCTTTGTAACTAATTTTTTAGCTCCAATAAAATGGACTGGACACTGTAGCACAGTATTTTATAAACCGTGAATCACAACCCAGTAATGCATGACAAAATCATTAGTGGATTATCAACACTTAAAAAAAAATGAAACAGAATAAAGTACAAAACACCAGACCACGTAAAAAAGTAAGTATTGTCCTACAGAACTATGTTTCTAGGATATGGGGACACGAATCCCAACATATGTATTTCTGCGACTATGGACAGAATTATACAAAAAGTTTGTAAAACAATTTAAACATCTAAAACATTTGTAAAGTATGTGGATACACACTTCAGCAGTCTGTAAACTTTAGAACCTCTACCAGAGGCATAAAAAAAAAAAAAAAAAGAATAAAAAGGGATAAGTGATTCTTCTCCTGTCAGTCAATTATACCAATCCGCCTCCACAAGCAATAATGCTCACTGTACCTCCAAGAGAAAGTGTGACTTCCTCTCAGGAACCATAAGCCTCACTTTCTCAAAAGAGCTGATCTCAGAGATGAAATCTGAGACAGGCAAAAAAAAAGAGAGCCAAATACTTTGTCAGGAATCCCCAACACGACACTCCACGTTGGAAGATTCATACATGGCTAAGACTCACTACAGTGACATAGTAACGTTACACAGTAGCATCATAAAGGGAAAAAGACACTGGAGAAAACCACACATAGGTTTCCTTATTCTCTCTTCCTCCTATGACAGGGGACACTAGAGCATGCTCCTTTCTCCAACATGTAAAAAGCATGTGCAATGTTCCTACTCAGGGAAGCCTATTAGAAACTCGGTGCCCAAAGTTCTTAATTGGGGGAGGGAGGGTGAGGATGGTTACCCAGACACACCTGCCCAAGTGGTAGGACAAAATTCCAGACTCCAAAAGGAAAGCAGGTGTTCGGCATACACCACACTGTTCACACCAACAGATGAGGCACTGCAAACCACCCTTATTAGATATGGAAGGGTGGGAACATTCTCAAATCCAAGTTCCCCCAGATACCTGCCAAGGGCGAGCCTTGCAAGCAGGCCTTTCTAAACATAGCAATTTCAGGCCTGCTACGTTAACTCTTTTCTTCACAAATACAAATCCTGTCTCAAAGCCCCATCCACACAAAAAAGTGGCTATTTCTAATAGCTTTGTATACCTCGTACCATTTAAGGGCTTCTTTTGAAGATGGCATTATAAATCCAGTAGACCTGAAATACTCCAAAAGACTGAAAATGGCATGGCTTTATCTGCTCTCAATCAATATTTCTTTCTATAATATGTGGTAGTTACATCAAACTTCCATTCATATCTCTTACCCAGAACTCCTCGGGCTGCACTGTCTAGCGTCCCTCCATGTCCAATTTTCAAAGTCTGCTTTTTCCTTTTGGTCCATTCTGGAGAAGGCATTCCAGCTTCTATGAGAGTAATTGGATGAAAAATGGCAATTAGCAAGACAAATGAAGTAAGATCTACATAAATGTGGGGGGAGGGTGGATGGAGTACTCAAAACAAAAAGGACTGTACAAACTTAACAGACTAAGATAACATTATTAGCAGAGAACAGACTTAAAAATATACAGATACTCCCTAAATTACAAAGAAACAGTATTCCAAAATTAGTTGTGTAGAAAGTGGAATTCATTTTCTAAGGGGAAAAAAAATTTTTTTTAAACGTGAGCAAATATCCAGGCTAACCCTGAAAAACCTAGTAAATTCCTAGGAGTAGTGGGCTGTTAGAGAATGATGAAAAGAAGTTAGTTTTTATATAGGCAACTAGTTTTAAAAGTTCTCGATTTCATTTCTAATTCTCTCGTTTCCTGGTATTCTTTGCTGGTACCCCCAGCTACCTAATGTCCAGCGTACCTTTCAAAAGGCTACCTCTAAGAACACTAATTTCCCAAATTATCTATTTTTGTTGCCCTGCTCTCCAAATCAAAACCCTCAATTCCTTCAAGAAGTTAATCTTAACAAAAGGTTATGTGAGAAGTAGGTAACAGTTAAGTTGCCTCTTAAACTCTGAAGCATTTAGATTTAAAAAAAGAAAATGCCAATCTGGGCCATCTCATCTTCCTATTGTAAAGATAAACTGAAATAATGTTATCTGAGGGCGCCTGGGTGGCTCAGTTGGTTAAGCCACTGCCTTCGGCTCAGGTCATGATCCCAGGGTCCTGGGATCGAGTCCCACATCGGGCTCCCGGCTCAGCGGGGAGCCTGCTTCTCCCTCTGACCCTCTCCTCTCTCATGCTGTTTCTCTCTCACTCGCTCTCTAATAAATAAATAAATAAATAAAATCTTTAAAAAAAAAAAAAGAAAGAAAGAAATAATGTTATCTGAAAGTGCTTTGGAAACTACATGGCACTCAATAAGTTATTGTTATTACTATCATTATTATTGTTATATATATCAATACATTGACAGAATATTGGCTACTGAACTTCAAATGAGAAAGGAAAGAACAGCTGTATTGATCTACAACTCCCAAACCCATCAAACTTCCCTTATAACCACTGACACGGAGAAGATTAAAAATAGAGCAAAAGAAATGAAAAGAGAGGACAGAGAAAAGAGAAAGGAAGCAGAGCAATAATGGAGAAGCCAGAATAGATGGCCAAAAGGATGTGCTGTGTTGCCTGGCCTGACCACGTAATTACAGAACACCATCTGTCTGGAACACAGTCCTCATGCCACTCTCTGATTATATCACCGTGCGTGGAAGGGCCTGCTTTCTCCAAACTATTTTTAAGAATGCAACCATAAGGACAGGCCCAGGCTTCAAACATTTCACCCTTCACTGGTAATTCATTATGGACCTCTCATCTATAAATTTATAGAAAACTTTTGGAGAACTCTCTGTATTTTTCAACTTGACACTCCTTGGAGTATGAAGGCCCACAAACGTGCTTCTTCCCTTTGTGTCCAAATTTACCTCTTTCAAGTTCGAAGACATACCACCTCTACTATATTGGAATTTGGTTCATCCTATTGGTAACATTTATGGAAGAGTATCTCTTAAGGTCTTCTCTGGCTATAAAATTCTGATATTTTGGGCCCTGAAGGATTCAGATAGACAAAGAAGAGCAAGGATTTTAGTATAGCATGAATCAATAAAGGGAAAGGCCAGAATTGTTAATAGAGGCTATGACCATTAACAGTGGCATAAATCAGTGGGTGTCAAACCTGGCTGGCATCAGAATGTGCTGCCTTGAAATTCGTATCTTTTAGAACCTTCCCAGGTAGCCTGGTCTAGCTAACATAAAATATAGACTAGACCAGTCAAAGCAACATAGAAATGGAGTAATGAGAATATCTGCATCTGAGTGAGAGGCTTCTAGAAGAAAGCCATGCTCAGCGGGGGTAGTCTGCTTGAGAGTCTCTCCCTCTCCTTCTGCCTCTTCCCCCTGCTTGTACTCTCTCTCTCTCTCTCTCACTCTAAAATAAATAAATCTTAAAAAGAAGAAGGAGGAGGGGGAGGTGGAGAAGAAAAGTTCCTGGACTGTTTTTTAATGGAAAGACAGGCCAGGGCCAAATTCAGGAGAGCCCTGAATATGTAGCAAATAGTTTTATCACCAAAGTCTGCAGAAATTTCTATGCTATGAGCTCAGTTAAGAGAAAAGACAGGATCTTTCATCTTCCCATCTCTATAGGCTAGATCTGGCTATTGTAGGTGACCAATAAATCTAAGGTTCCTTGATGCCACTGTCCGAAATAATCTACTGGGCTGACGAACTGAAGGATCCTCCAGGCTTTTCTAATATTCTCCCAGTGTACATGAAGAAACAAACAAAAAAGAATGCTCTCAAATTATATTTAGTGTTCCCCAAAATGTGGTCCAAAGGCCACTTAACACCAGAATCACGTGGAGGAACAGTTTAAAAATGGTTTCCTAAAAAACACCCCAGAACCTCAAAATCACAATCTCTGGGAGGGCAGGGATTGGGAATCTGCATTTGTACAAGGGACTCTAAATAATTCTTATGTCCACTATGTGAAAATCACTGCATTAAAGTCTTGGTTAAATGAGTAATATCTGTATCTCCAAACTATTTTAAGAATGCAACTTTGGGGGTAGAGAGCCAGTGCTTCTTCCAAGAGGGGTTTATCAACCTGAGCCAAACAAAAGGCTCCTGGGCGATCAGATTACAGAATATTAGTTTGTCTGCCCAAGGGAAGAGGTTTATTTGTGTACGTGTGGGGATTTTGTGTTTTGTTTTTTGTTCTTCCCTTGAGAACGACAACGGCCAACTAGGCTACAGGAGTTCACGTCAGGGCAAGTCCAAGCCCGAGATGCCCCAGATTTCTGTTCAGAGCTAATTCAGTGGTCATCCTCCCTTTCCCCTCCTTTTACTTCTCGAGCCACAAGCGCGCAAAAAAAGCCCATTGGCTCTCTGCGGCTTCCGCTCTCGCGGCGACCGCCTCAGCCTGGTCCCCACCCGGGCTGCAGTACCTGCTAACAGCTTCTCCTTCAGCCGATTCAGCAGCTCGGCTGAAGTGGGCCCTTTGGGCTTGTGCACGGCGAACACGCCGCTCAGGGACAGCAGCTTAGTAGCCAAAGCGGCCTTGGAGACCCTGGCTTCGGATCCGGTTCTGGCAGCGGCCGCGACGGCCGCGACTGCAGCCGTCGCTGGTGAGGCGGCGGCTGTTGCTGCGGCTGTTCCTGCAGTTTCAGGGACCAGGGCTGTGTCTGTTTCCAAAGATGACGACGATACCACCGCCGCCTCAGCAGCTGCCATACTTTAGTAGCCCAGACCTATTTGTATCTGGAGTCGCACTCTAATGACGCAACAAGAGTGCGCCCGACGTCCCTCCATCTTTCCCATACTTCGAAGTAGTGCTGGCGGGAGGGGCTGTCGCAAGGGCGTGTGGGAATTGTAGTTCATGGCCTTCTGCTGTAGGCTGAGATGGCTGTACCTTCTGAGGGTTCTGATGGAGTAGTTTTTCTCCTGGAATCCTATCTGCCTCCTTCGATGCTGCAGGTGTAATTTGGAGTTCCAGTCCTAAACTGCTGAAGCCAAACACGAAGTCTGTGTATATATTTGGCGGGCAATCTCTTTACATCCCACCTGCCCACCCCCCTTCCAGAACTAAAGAGCACCCAGCTTCCAAAAATAGAAAACTTAAAATACTGATTTTGCTGCGGTTTGTGAAGAATCATGGTCCCTCAGTTCACTGCTTCATTCGATTTATCGTGCCCTTGGATTCACGATTCAGAATTCCAATACACCCAAATGTAAGCTCTTTAAAGAAAGGAAACTACCTCTTCACTGCTGTATCCCCAGCGTCTTACACAGAGTAGGCGTTTAACTAAATATTTCAGAATGAATAAACGGATACGAGTTCTTCAAATTCCCAAAAGAAACTTCTAAGCCAAGCCAATGCTAAATCACTTGAGCTTATTTTGATGCATTCCTGTACACCCCACCCCCTACTACCCCTGCTGTAATTCTTAATAAGTCTTAAGATTTTTAATACTTAAAAGATTTGTAATACTAACTCTTCTGTGGATTGCATCCCTTAGTAACCCATTGCTTACATATCGAAAGGCATTATTGCAATTCATGAAATTAAACTTTACTTTCGATTTGAGACTTTCTCTCTGGAAGTTATTTATACCCCCATCAAAATTCAGGAACATTGTTCTGATCCTGACACAAGGCAGAGTGGAGAAAAAGTCTTCGTTTTACTTCTGTTTCAGATACATTAAACGGTATTATGAGTATTGTGGGACAGATAAAGTTTGGCTTCATTGTTTCCCCAAGTTTCCTTACAGCCACCCTTTCTCCTCATCATCCTCTTGCACCTTAAAGCTTACTATACTAATGATGCCTCTCTGCTGCTCAAAATTCCCAATTGTGGAACTTTCCCCATTTATTCAACAAATACACCAAAAAACAGTGTTTCAAATATAGTATTTATTTCTATATTTTCATCCTTCCCCATTTTAGTCAGATCGCCAGACTCTCATTAAACCTTTAGGGTACACAACACTGTAAATGTACTTAATGCCAGAGAAATGTACACTTAAAAATGGTTACAATGGAAAATTTTATGTTATGTATATTATACTACAAAAAGAAAAGCCAAAAAAATCTTTGGGGAGTTTTTGCAAGGTGGAAAGCTGAATTGGAAATGGAAGTCACTTAATGTTATAGTCTATTCTAAAAGCCTAAGCTAAATAAAAATATTATGCATGGGGGTGTGTTGAAGGCCAGAAGAGAATAGAATTGTTCTGAGAATAAAGTGAGAGAAAGTGAATGATTTGCAAGTCCCGTGATTACCTGAGCGGATACTTGAGGCTGCTTCAAGATTTTTCCTTTTCCAGGAAGGTGCCACAACTTCAGAAGGGAGGACTGCACCCTGCGAAGCAAAGCATCCGTTAGCCTCAGCACAGATTTCTGTGCTCTCCTCTTGGCGAGAAGCAGAGAGCCAGGGACTTTAAGAGAAAGTTTAAAGCAGGATTGAACAATAGTGACTTGGAGATTAGAGAGCCTTTTCCCAGGGGTCTAGACAGCTTCCCTAATTCTTTTGTGACTCCAGGATGGAGAGAGTGGTGGGAGAACAGAAATAGAGGTGAAATATAATGCTTCCATTTGAATTTTCCACAATGCCAGTGCAGAATCAGAGTTAATTTGATTAAAAGAAAATGGAAGAGCCCTGGGTGTCATATGGAAGTGAAAAATCACTAAATTCTACACTTGAAACCAATTTTACCATATATGTTAACTAACTAGATATGAATAAAAACTTGAAAAAAAACCAGAAAAATTGAAATTTCTTGCACATTTTATTTCTGGAATGCTAGGAAACAGAAAAATTAATTCTACTCTGCTATCAAATCTGTACTCTTGGCGTCAGAAGTATCGAGCTCTAATTTTCTGAGGTAACCAACATCTCCCACATCGATCAAGCCTTGAATTTACAAGTTATCTTACTTAATATGTCTATGAGTTAGGATTCTTTGGTTTGGAGTGACAGTAACTGATCCAGTTTAAAATGTATCAGAAGGATTTTAGAAAAAGGATTTATCAGAAGTATACTGGAATGTTAGGCAGAACCTGAAAAGTTCTCTCTCAGGTTCTCTCTCTCCACCCACATCCTCTTTTTCTGCTACTCTCTTGTGTCTTCGTGCTTCTCTTTTGCATCTAACAGGCTTTTTTTTTCTACTCCTCATTCCACAGTCTGGGTTTAAACCATCCTGTTTTGATCTAACTCCAAAAATATCCTGGATGAAGTCCGTCTTGGTCAACTACGGAACATAGTACTCCTCTCACTTTGTCCCTTCATCTTTTTTCACTTTCCTGCTTGATTTTTCTCCATAGCACATTTTATGTGACATACCAAATATTTACTTATTTCGTTTAATGTCTTATTTCCTCCATCAGAATGTAAGCTCCGGATGAGGAATTTTTTGTATATTTTATTCATGGCTATGTCTCCAGGGCCTGGAAGAGTGTCACACATAGCACTCAATAAATAGTTGTGGAATAACTGAATGAATAAACATGGCAGCTCCAGCAGAAACCATGTAAATACAGGAGAGTTAGTGACAGTTTCCAGAAGAGTGCTGAATACATAAAATAATAGATGTATATTCCAAGTGCAGCCTCAATGCTTTTATCTCCATTTTTGTGTATGTATGGAACTGATGCAAAGAGAAAATATGATCACTTCATGCTATATTATAAAGCCCCAACTTTCTAGACCAGCTTCCATGCTGCCCTCAACTACCCAGTCATCTCCAAGGGTTGTTAATTAATGAGACCTAAAAGTTGATAATACTCTCAGGTTTGATTCCAAATCTGCCGCTGGTTCTACCATGGTTGCATTCTTGGGGCACTTCTTTGATCCTTGCCATAGGCATGTATACCTGGGAAAGCTGTTCTTTACAAAGGCTTCCATTGTCGCTCATTTATATAGCTTCCTATAGACAATAGAAGCATAGAAAATAATGCTTGGGTGCGCCTGGGTGGCTCAGTTGGTTAGGCATCTGCCTTCGGCTTAGGTCATGATCTTGGAGTCCTGGGATGAACCCTGCTCTGGACTCCCTGCTCAGCGGGGAGTCTGCTTCTCCCTCTCCCTCTGCCTATGCCCTGCACTCATGCCCTCTCTCTCTCCCTCAAATAAATAAATAAAATCTTTAAAAAAAAAAAAAAGAAAATAGTGCTTGATGAGAACTTCTAGACCATATACTGTAAGACCCTCATTTTAAAACTGAAGCACAAAAGGGTGTTCCTGATAACCAGGAAGAAAGAGCTGGAGAGCTGGCCTTGAGAAAGGCATGTTTTTTTAAAAGTTCAGGGAACAGATGGGCATGTTTCATTACATGAAATTTGAGAGAGCTGAAAAACTCTCCCCCTCCCCCAAAAATCTTCTGTCTCTGCCATTTCAAATTATCCTAATTGAGAAGGAAATTATCCTCATAGGGAAGGTAATTAAAGAAGCCAGTGGTTGCATAAGAACCTCTGCTGTGAACCAAGTTATTTAAAGGAAATACATTTGTGTTTCTTTAGAGTTAGACTTCTTTAACAAAGTTTTATTTTCTAAGGTATAAATATTTTTAATGTTTTAATTTTGATCATAAGTTTCATAATTAAGGGAAAATAGTGGCAATAATGTAAAATTTTTAATTAAGCAAAGAATTTTTTTAAAGAAGGGATAGATAATATCACAAACATGTAGGAAGGAGTAAGGCCAGAGAAGTTAAAGTCTTAAAGATTTGGGACTAGGAAAAAAAAGAAAAAATTCCAGAGACATCAAAGGAAATTTTAAAGAAGATCAAGAAAGATCAATTTACTGCTTGAGGCCAATCAGGTGACAAAGCTCCTATTTTGCCTGACTTCTCCATCAAGGAGATGATTTGGGGATGAAAATGGGAAAAGTCAGCCACTGATAAGAGGAGAATTAGGTCCATGAGTGGTGAAGAGTTTGGAAGAAGACATTTCTGCAGTAGTTGAGGTTAGATCTTCTAGCCCAGAAATGATATCTGGGGCCAGGGGAGAGGGAAGATATGAGCACTTGCAAAAGAGAGTGCTTAAGAGAATATATATATGTGTGTGTGTGTTATGTTCTGTGCTGGCACTTTACATTTTCCTGGAATTTCTATAGTAACTCTCAAGTAATGCTTGTGGAGAAAATAAAATATAGACTGGGTCCCGGAACTTCACTACAACGTAGCTACTATAATTATTATCATCCCCATTTATGGATGAGAAAATGAAATTAAATGAGGTTAGAGCATTTGACCAAGGATATATAGCTAGCAGAGCATAAACGGATGTGTGGGCGTCCCTAAGACCAACCTCAGAATAGACTCTCTAGAAGGACTCATAGAATTCAAGAAAGCTATAATATTTATGGTCACCACTGATTATAGTGAAAAGATACGGATTAAAATCAGCAAAAGTAAAAGGCGCTTAGGATGAAAGCACCAGGAGAAACCAGGCACAAGCTTCCAGTTATCATCTCCTAGTGGGGTCACAAGGACAGTACTTGAATCTCCAAGTAATAAAATGTGACAACATGTGTGAAGTGTTGCCAGTCAGGGGAGCTCTCCTGAGCTTTGGTATCCAGGGTTTGAACTGGGGATCTGTCATGTAGGCATACAGTACCTGCATGACTGACCTTAGCTGCTTAGTCTCTAGCACCCAGAAAACAAATTAACATGTGGTCCAGGACCTCAGGTATACAAGAACAGGCGTTCGCCCTGAGTCTTCTTGTTAGCATAAACTATCTTGTCCACCTGATACAGTGTAGCCCAAGACGTCAGGCATCCTAAAACAT